CTACCCTCATTCAGGTATGGAAACGGCAGACAATGACTGAGGGAAAAGCAGAGTACACACACGCACACACGCACGCACATGATGAGAGTTCATTCTCAAAGAAGATAATTAGTAATACAAATCAAAGTATCTACTGGGCCTTGTTTCCATGAAGAGACGGGTACAGACTCTTTTTCCACAGAGCAAATGGCATGTCAGGTTTACCCAGGAGCAAAGAAGTTGGAAGCTTCTCCCTAGTATGAGTTGCCCACATTTCTACTTTAGATAACAGTGAGTTTTGTCGATGCCCAAATACAGATTACGAAAAACAAACTGTGTACAAACTGTGCATTTTATAAGGTCATATTTTCTGAACGTATGCATCATTCAAGACCTCCTTTTACGGTTTGTCAACAAGATAGCTGCATAAAATACACCCTGATATCTCACAGCTGTGTGTAATTCATCCTGTCTACCCATGCTGCACAAATAAAAAATTTTATTTGTATCATCTAAAAGAAATACTAGTGCATAAATACATAAGCAGAGCTCATAAGAAACAGCCCCCTGACCACAGATCCCATGGAGGGGATATTGTGCAACCAATTAAAAAGCCCAGAAATGGCTCCATGATTCCTGTACACAGATAATAAACACTGTGCTCAGCAAATAGGGCAGTTGTGCAACTTCTCCGGAGCCTTGCAAAATGTCTCACACGCATTGGTCCAGCCTGCCTTCAGATTCTCCTAGGAATAACTAGAAATAAAGTCTCTTTGTGGAGGACTTTAGAGCCAATAGAAGAGTCTTACTTTGGATTCGGAGTCTGAAAAATGTAGGTGAAAGTTCAGGGGAGTGTTTAATGTGTGGCATATCTGCCCCACAGGAAATCAAATAGCTGTCCTTTTCTGTCACCTAGAATGCGGAGGCACTGGCCCTGAAGACTGAGAAGGTTCTTCACATTGGGTTTCTTGAGCCTCAGTATGATCAAATGCAAGTTACCCACACTCAGGCCTCCCTTAGGCTCCCAAAGTCAAGGTATCGCTACTGGGCAAGCAGATGGTAATGGCTTGATTAGAGAACCATGCATCATCTCCGTCCATCTAAGACAGCAACTGCAGTGGGCTGTAGAACATGCAGAGACCTCGCCTCAAGCCCATGTGGAAGTCTCGTAGGCATTTCTCTACTGTAGCTGGAATGTATGCAAAAACATTCTGTCTTCCTCTCGCTGGGGTTGGGTGGTAGGGAATTGATGATATCGGTATCAGCACTCTTCTGCCAAGTATCCGGTCCTAGCACAACTGGCCTTATTCTCCACCAGTTTAACAAGTTGATTTGTATTGCTAATTTAACTCAAAGCTGGAAGGGGTAGCCTATAAGTCCACTGGTACATCTATGTGGGAGGAAGGCTAAGATGCCTGTGCCCACCTTCATGACACTAGTACCTGACTTCAAAGAACACCATGGTGGCCATAGTCACTCTTGGCACCTGGCATGGTTTTCAGTGGTGCTGGTAGTTCACAAGCACTGGTATGTTCAAATGGCCTTTGCCCAATTCAAGAACCCTACCAGCTCTCTCATAAACCCTTTATAGACTGCGGTGGGAATTGGCAGGAGCTGCCTCACTGGATCAGAACCCACTATGATGTGTGAGTCTCCTAAGTCCCAGGTAAAGCATCCAAGTGTCAGTGAGGTCCCAAGAGTAATGCCGTAGGGACGAGCTATGGCTAAGCTGCACTAGGTGTGATCAGCTGGCCACACTCTGCCTGTCACAGATGGAAGGTAACACTCACTCTTCTTGGCCAATGTGATCTGCCTTCTGGGGGCCCCACTGGGTCTAAAAGAGTTCTAACCTGCGGGTCTCCACTCATGTATTCCACCAGGCCAGCAGTATTCTAAAAGTTTTCTCCTGGCTTCTCCCTCAAGGGTCTCATCTCCAGCCACTCCCCATTCACTGATTTCCTTGTTGTTGTCCTTCTCTTGCGACAATGTTGAATTTGCAGAAGAGGTCCAAGAATGATGCAGAGAATGTAGAATGCAGAGCCTCTTCCTCCAGTCTCCTCTCATAGCACATGTGATGCCCTCTGAATCAGTCTTACAAGCTGAGTGCCTCTTCTGGTTGCTTCCTTGGGACTGGAAATTATTTCAGAAACTGTCTAGATTCTAGGATATCACATGCATATGTGTTACTAGATACTTTGGAGATGTATTTCATGTGTAAACTCAAAAATTCACTTGTATTTCTATAAAAGCAACTGTCTACTGTTTATGTTTCTATGGGCATGGGTGAATGGAGGCCAGAGGTCAACATTGGGTTCTTTTCTGTTTCTTTACACATTATTAATATTATTATTGCTGCTGCTGCTGCTATTGAGACATTACTATTCCCTTACTGAACTCAAAACTCACGAATTGGCTAGACTGGCTGGGTAGTGAGCTCTAGGGGTCCCTCTGTGTCCGCCTGCCTCACACAGTCAATGCAGGGTTATGGATGTGCACCACCGTGTCTTGCTTTCATATGGATACTGACAATCTGAATTTCCATCCTCACTCTCACACAGCAGGCGGTTTATGGACTGAACCATCTCCCAGTGCCCCTGTGTGTCTCACATACTATTTAAACACACTTCCGCATATACTTTATCACACTCAGCATTACAGTACCTGCATTGTGACCATCACAAGCAGCATTTCTAGGTCAAGAATGTTTGTATCTGGGGGGGTTTCAGAGTTTGGGTTTCCAGACTAAGGATGCAAGCTCACGTTCATTCTGTTGTCTCTCTGTCAAGTGCGACCATCAGAGGGCAGTTCCCTTTGTGTTGGTACGTTAGACCCAGGATTGACACTGCTGCATCTCCTGGGCTGGAGTAGATTTAAGAGAGCAGGGTTTCCATAATGCAGATAGAAAACACTAGCATCAGGGAACAGTAGGAGGTTCTGGCCTGAGTGGACAGAATGGGTTTTCTGAATGGAAGCATCACGTCTAGAGCACCCACGAGCAAGCCAAAGTGGATACTACTCGGTGAGTGAGTGAACAGAGGCAGAGCAACAATGGACCAGGAAGTCTTGGTGACAAGCCCTGGATACACAGCCTGTGCAACAGTGGACCAGGAAGCCATGGTGACAAGCCATGGATACACAGCCTGTGCAACAATGGGACCAGGAAGCCATGGTGACAAGCCCTGGATTCACAGTCTGTGCCACAGTAGACCAGGAAACCATGGTGACAAGCCCTCAATGCACAGCCTATCAGCACATGAAGATGCAGGGCTCCAGGCTGTCAGCATGAGCCACTGCAGCGAGGTGGACTTCTGACATCTTCCATCCAGAGAGTGTTCCTTTCTCTCTGGCAAGCCCTGATGTTGGACAGATGTCATCTCTCACAGGCAGATTCATCTCTGAGGATTTGTGTCATCTGACTACGATATTCATTGCCTTCCTTGCTGTGACCAAACACTTAAGCCAAGGCGACTTAAGGAAGGAAGTGCTTGTTTGAGCTCACGTTCAAGAGAACCATCCATCGTGGCAAGGCAGGCATAGTGGCAGGGGTCTGAAGCTGCTGGTCACATTGCGTCCACCGTGAGGAAGCAAAAATGGAAGGTTATTGCTCAGCTCACTGCCTCCTTTTTTGCTGACTCTGGAACTCCAGCCATAGGAAGGTGTCACCGACTTTAGGGTCGTCCCATGTCAGTGAACCCAATTATAAGCTCTCTTTCAGATGTGCCCAGAAGTTTCTCTCATAGGCGATTATACTATCTCTGGCTAGAAGGAGTGAATATTACTCATTGCAAATGCCTTTGTCCTCCTCCCCTCCTTCTCTGACCTGTACCCACCATCCTTTTCTCTCTTTCCCAACATGGCCAAGGGACCCAGTTCATTCCTCTGCCTCTCGCCATGCTCATGACTTTTCACCCCTAGTTGCTCAACAACCAGGGTTCAGAATGCTTGAGACCAGCTTTGAGAATGTTCTGGAAAGGCTACACGAGATGGTTGATGTTCCAGTAGTAATCCCTTTGTAACCTGACTATAACTGCAGACTTCCACATCGAGAATGATAAAACGGTGTGGATTTAGAAGTCTTAGGGGAATTGTAAAATGTCTAGGATTAAAATTTCAATACCGTTTGTGCCCCATAAATATGAAGTCTTTAGTAACTTGAAACTGTGCTATTATGACTCAGGTCTGAAAATCCTGGATTCTGGCTGAAGGAATGGGAATAACACGTGGGGGAATCTGGTCCCATCCCTCACCTCCAGGCCCACCGAATAGCAAGGGTGTGACCTCATAGGCGAACAAGTCCAGAGAAATCACCATGCTGGTTATGAAAACGATACACGCTCCAGAAGAGAAAAATGTTATTCTTTCCATTGGGTTAGCTTATGGAAATGGGACTGAACTGAACCTGTGGCCTGTCAGGCTCCACAGACAAGACCCCAAGAAACAAGTGTGTAGGACAGCTTTTTGAATGACTTTAGTTAAAAAAAAAATAATAAACCAGTCTAGTTGGTCTGAACTGGCAAATTAATTTTATCTATTGAATCACTTACCAAAGTATATAAAATTAGACTTCCTAAGTGCCCAGAGGAGACTTGGCGTTGTGTCTAACAGATTCATTGAGACTTAAGTAAATGGATTTAGTCTTAGTACAGCTAAGGCCTTGGGACTTTTAATACCGAGTTGATCTTAAGCATAGCCCTAATTTATCATTTTTAAAAGTCACTGCATGTGTGCTTCAGTGCTAATTGAAGCACTGAATTATATACTCTGCCTGAACTAATAATCTAACATGGATTATAGGCCTGGAAGGAAAATAAGTCAGTTTGTTGTCTTTAAGGTACAGTATTTTAACGTTGAGATTGACAGAATTCACTCGTTTCTAATGCTTACTGTGATTTAATGGATGCTAGCCTTTCCCTGGACTCACTCAGCTTCCAAGTATTTTCACTGTGTCATTTTTGTAATAAGCTTCTGATGCCAAATTCTTCCACCAGAATGAAAACCCAGCTGCTTTTCTTTTGATTCAGGGGTGAATTTATGGGACCAGAGAGGAGCTTATGAAGTGGCCAGAGCCTCCCTTCTGAGCAAGGACCCTGGGATCCCAGGACAGAGCTTCCCAGCAAAGGTCAGCTGTTTGTATTCATTTGTTCTTCCTCCCTTCTTTTCTTTCTTTCCCTTCCTCCCTCCCTCCCCCTATCTCTCGTTCATTTGTTTGTTCACCCTCAGCCTTGAGATGGCAAAAGTTTCAAAATTGTGTTGACCAAACCGGCATACTGTTCATGTTTTGTCTTTACCCATTTTCAGTGCAAACTCTGCTCCTTTGAAATGAGAGTCCTGTTCTTACAGGAGAGAGAATGAGTCCGGCTCTGGTGGTGCAGCCCTAACGAGAGAGAGACTCAGCAATGTTAGCATCTATGAGATGAATCTGAGGATCTGGTAGGGAGATGGCTCATTAGTTAGGACCCTCTGCTGCTCTTGCAGAGGCCTGGCGTTCAGTTTCTAGCCCTTGTTTTAGATGACGGACAACCATCTGTGACACCAGTTGTGTGGCTCTGGCATTTTCTTCTGGCCTCTGTGGACACCAGTCGTACAAATGTTATACATACATACATGCAAGAAAGCATCCATATGCATGCAACAGTACATTCATACAATAGTAATAAGTCTTTAAAAATTATCTGGGGGTACTGAGAATGTAGCTTAGTGGTGGAGAATTTATCTAGGTTGTGTGAAGCCCTGGGTTAGATTCCATACTTGGAAAAATAATTTTCCAATCAAACACCAAAGATTACATTATCAGACACATAAGTTCTGCCTTCAGTTTACTTGAATGGCAACTATTTTTTGCATTTATATTGATTTAATAAACACTTTTCTCCAATTGATTATTAGTAGGAATGTTTTCACAAAGCTTTAAAAATCCATCATGAGTCTTAATACACTTTAAATCTTGTTTACTTTTGACTTATTTGATTTTTACCTTCTGTGATATACCATAGATAATTGGAATTTTGCCAATTAATACTTTGGGGCATTTTATCTGCCAAGCAGAAATGACTGTCTTTAAATTTCAGGATGCGTAGTGACAGAAGATGATGAAATCCATAGAAACCTGAGTCCTTTGGAGAGATCATTGTGATGGCTTTGTCCTGGTGTTCTCTGCGAGTATTTTTAGATCATTTCTTCATGATAGAAAACAGATTTTTTAAAAGAGCAGTCAAGACTATAGAAATCCCATGTAGCTTTCCAGAGCGGTCACTGGGCCCCTCTGTGTGGGGACAGATGGGATGATTTATATCCTCCATTTATCTGCTGGAAAGGCTGCACTTGAAACAGTTGTAGGAGAGGTTAGTGGTTTGGCTAAAGGAGCCAAATGCCCAATCTAAGACAGGGGGACATGTATTTTAAAGAGGTGCTCCCAAATTGTGTGTGTTGGAGGGAACGGAAGCATGGAGGTACTAATGCTGTTCCTAGGAGAAAAACTTGATAGTGAAGAAACTCCCATCATGCTATTGGTCAATCATATTAAGGTAAGATAGATGCAGAAGAAGGGAAATATACTACTTAACAAAGAATATATGTCTACTAAAATAGTTATAGGCTTGGGGTTGGCAAGATGGCTCAGTGAGTAAAGGCTGTTGCTGCTAAGCTTAGTGGTCTGAGCTTAATCTGCAGGACCCACACGGTGGAAAGAGAGGACCAATTCTTTCAAGTTGTCTTTTTACCTCTACACACATGTACACACACACATACACATAGGCACACACACGTGTGCACACATATCTAGTAGGATTCCAGATGCTAGGAAACAGAATAGGGAGGTTTCCTGGAAGTAGATTTGCCAGAATCAGTGCATAAAGTACAGAATGTCTGTTTAGATTTGAATTTTAGATCAACAATGAAGGTAGTTTTACTGTTTTTTTTTAATAGATAAATTCTATATAATATTTGGGACACACTTACGTTTAAAAGGTCTTCATGTCCCAATACGGTTCATTGGAAGTGCGGGTTTGGCTGGGTGCTTTAAGTGTCATCAGTCCACGGGAAACTCGAGCAATAGGCTGTCATGTTGATGGCTCACCACTAGTGTCAGCCAATTCTGTTTTGCTCTGGCTTCTGGCCTTGGCTTCAGTTTTCACGTCCACTGGCCATCTGGCAGGTGCCGTGAGGCATATATGCGGAGAAAGTGGAGCATCACTGCCAACCAAGCCTCTGTATTATGAAACGGTCTGTATCACCAGAAAACTAGTATGCACCATTGTTGTTTGGCACAGTTCCTAACTCCCGCGGGATTCCACTCCACAAGTAGAACCATAAGGGAGATGGGCTAAAGTAGATTGCATTCCAGTGACTCCACAGTATTGGCAGTATTTAAGATAATGGGGACAAAAGTGATTTGGTGACTGCCAGCTTTCTTAGTGTTTTATGCCCTAGGACCCGTCTCAACACACCACGATGACATTAGCATTATGTGACCATAATTGCAACATATGTTCACGTGAGCAACTGACAAAACCCTCCATGAATGACGTACACGTAGATGGTCTATTAATGTGGTCTACATGAAATTCTCCATGCAGTGGACACATCTATGAGATCTGGTTAGTGTCTTAATTGTGTATCTGCCCCCTTTATTGAGATCTAACTTAACTACATCAGCACAGTGCTCCACACAAAGTCTTCTCCCAGTAAAGTATTTATAAAGCCTAGATGTGCCCCTTGTATTTCAGAAACATGTTTCCACTTTCCATCCTCCTGGTCTCTTTGACTTGGCTGGTTTATAAAAGTATGTCTTATGCCCTGGGCATTGGGTATATGGTCAATAAAGGAGGCAGTCAAGCCTTTGCCCTTGCACCTTACAAGTGTAAGTGAAATAAATTCAGATTGTCTCTCAGAGATCCATGGGGTAGGTACACTGTGGCAGAAATGCTTGGAAAGACTTTTCTGATATAAAGATTTCTATCTTTTCCATTGAGTTCCACAGAGCTAGGCTGTGAAGAGTTGATATTCAAGGGAAAGGAAGAAACTGTATTTATAACCAGCAACTGTGGCTGATGGGCATACACCATCTCACTCTTGGCTCACCAAATGGTGAGAACGCTGGAGCATCATCAAGAAAGAGTGAGAAGAAGTGGTGAGAACTGGTCAGCCTGGGGAGTATTGTCAGAGTGTCAGGTGTGCCTCCCAGTAGGTTAGCAATGTTAAAGATACTCCCTGTGTCTGGGCTCTGGCTATATAGGAGGAGGACCTGCCACTGTGAACATCCTCAAACAGGGAGGATCCCTTTCTGATATGGTTTCCCTACATCATTAAAGTGCCAACTTCACTGGCTTTCATGTGTGTATATTAGAACTGCCTGGAAGTGTATTATCTATAGTATTTCCCTTTATCCATAGGTCTGAGGCATCTTCCTTTTGAAAATTGTCCTTGTATTTCTCAGTAGCGTAGCCACTGGTACATTGCCCCCACTTAAACAAATACCACCTCCATCCATGCTCGTGTAGGCACCTTTAACTAAATATAGTGGATCACACATAAACGGGGGCAGGAAAGTACAAAGACTTGGAAGGAAGAAGAGATTTGGTGTGAGAGAGAAGGAGACAGAACAATGGTTCTCAACTTGTGGGGTGTGATCCCTTTGGGGGTCAAACAACCTTTTCACAGGGGTCATATATCAAATATATTACATATCAGATATTTATATTAAGATTTATAATAGGATCAAAATTAGATGAAGTATTACATATCAGATATTTACATTAGGATTTATAATAGTATCAAAATTAGATGAAGTAGCAATGAAATAATTTTTATGGTTTGGGCTCACCACAACATGAGGAACTATATTAAAGGATCACAACATTAGGAAGGTTGAGAACCACTACAAGAGAAGGTAATGAGGTATCTTTGACCAAAGAACCAAACATGTATAAAAATAAAAGGAAATATATTGTAAATGCCTTTGGAGGATTTTAATGAGAATACAAGGTTTAGAAGTTTGGAGAGGGCCTTGAGACAGTCTGTAGTGCCAGAGTGCTGCTCAACGGAACCAGTGACTTAGACAGGGGTGCAATTGAAGATTCCCTTCTTGGCCCCACCTGTCTCTCGTGGCACAAGCTGTCACTGCTGCTGCTGATAATTTGAAAGAGTAGAGGGGGAGGAAAGAATATGGCCTCACTGGAGTTAAAAAAAAAAACTTCCAACCTTTTATTGGTGAGCTGGTTGGCATTGCCTGTGACCTGGCATTTTCTCATCATTCTCGCTCCTCTTGGGGGCATTGTAAGAATGAGCTAGAACAATGGCTTTCAAAACACTCGGGGGCTGGGCCATTACTGTACAAATGTAAGGTGATACTCGGGGTTTAAAGTGTCTTTGGGGACCCATCTCCAGTTTCATGTTTTGGAAGAGTCAAGCTGAGAACCAGGGAAGACATGTCACATTGATTGAGCGTGAGATGGTCTCCGTGGAACTCAGCCTTTGAATGCTCCAGGAAATGTCCAATTTCCAGCTCTCTCACATCACAAGGAAATTATGGAAATTGTACGTGAAATGAAAAATAAGAGGCCAAAGGATTAGAAGGGGAGCCCAGAGCTTCCTTAGCAGATGGTAGGTCTCAAATATCAAGCAGCAACTCGTTATAATGGTAGAGGCAGATTCCGCTCCAACAGATGCACTTACCACTTTCCAAGCCCAGAAAACTGAGCCCCAGCTCTAGTGTCAAGTGGCTGCTCCCAACTGTTCCTTCACAACCAGTCTCCTGAGAAGGGTGGCTCACGTTCTATGGCCCTCCCTCTCCCATGCCCCCCTCCCCTTGTGGGTAGCAGTTCCCAACACTTCATCAGAACCACCTCTCTGAAGTCTTAGGTGGCCTCTCTAAAGCCAGGGATTGCCTCCCTTCTCCCTGCTTATCTTAACCCTGACTTACTTTTCGTAAAAGCTTTCTTCTGGATCTCAAAAGCCCATTCTTTGTTGACTGTTTTCCTGCTTAAAATGTATTATCACTGCCATCACTACTATTATCAGTGGGGAGGATGTGAGTGTGAAGGTCAGAGGACAACCTTGCAAAGTTGGTTCTTTCCTTTCACCACTGATCTGAGGTACAAGGACAGGTGTGGCCTCTTCTGC